ATAGCTATGAACAAGGATAAGTCAGGACCTTGTGGGAAGGTACTAAATGGGGGGATGGCAAATTCCGTCAGTATTAGGCAGGAGCTAGGGAGTGTTAATTGGGAGGAGCTTTTATCAGGCAAGTCCAGATTTGACATGTGGGAACTGTTTAAAGACCTGCTGGGGAGAGTTCAAGACCGGCATGTTTCAGTAAGGAGGAAGGATAAGGATAAGGATGGTAAGGTAAGGCACCCTTGGATAACGAGGGGGGTTGTAAATTTAGTTAAAAGGAAAAAGGAAGCTAAAATTGGACGAGGCCCGAGGAATATAAGGAAAGTAGGGATTTATTTTTTTAAACCAATAGAAGTTGCTGAAAAGCAGGTTACACCAGAAGAAGGGTCTAGGCCCGAAACGTCAGCCTTCCTGCTCCTCTGATGCTGCTTGGCCTGCTGTGTTCATCCAGCTGGACACCTTGTTACACCACTTTTTACACTCCTTTTACAGATTGAGGGAATTAGGAGAGCAAAAAGGGGCCATAAAATGACTTTAGCAAGCAGGTTTAAAGAGAATCCCAAGGCATTCTATAGATATATTAAAAGCAAGAGGAGAACGGGGAGAAGGGAGGACCACTCAAAGATAAAGGAGGGAACTTGTGCTTGGAGGCAGAGAATATGGATAAGATCCTAAATGAGTATTTTGCATCGGTATTCACCTCTGAAAAGGATATGGGGGATAGTGAGATTTGTGTGGAGCATGCTAATATGCTAGAGCATTTTGAGATCAAGAAAGAAGTGGTGTTGGATCTTTTGAAGAGCATTAAGGTAGAAAAGTCGCATGGCCCGATGGTATCTACCCCAGGTTATTGAGAGAAGCAAGAGAGGAGATTGTTGGGGCCTTGACCAAGATCTTTGTTAGTCACTAGCGAGGTCCCAGAGGACTGGCAAGTAGCTAATGTTGTTCCTCTGTTCAAGAATGGAAATAGGGATAATCCAGGAAACTACAGACCTGTGAGTCTGACGTCGGTGGTTGGGAATCTATTGGAGGGACCTCTTAGGGATAGGATTTTATGTACATTTGGAAAAGCATGGCCTATTAAGGGACAGTCAGCATGGCTTTGTGCAGGGCAGGTCATGTTTTATTAACTTGATTGAATTTTTTGAGGAGGTGATGAAGGTGATCGCTGAGGGTAGAGCAGTGGATGTTGTTTACATGGATTTTAGTAAGGCTTTCGACAAGGTCCCGCATGATAGGCCCATCCAGAAGATTAAGATGCATGGGATGTACGGTGACTTGGCCCCGTGGATTCAGAATTGGCTTGCCCATAGACAGAGGGTAATGGTGGAAGGGTGTTTTTCAGGCTGGAGGTCCCTGACTAATGGTGTTCCGCAGAGATCTGTACTGGGACCTCTGCTGTTTGTGATATGAATAAATGACTTAGATGAAAATGTAGATGAGTGGGATAGTACGTTTGCAGACAATACAAAGATCGGTGGAGTTGTGGATAGTGTAGAACGTTGTCAAAGGATACAGTGGGATATAGATCCGTTGCAGATATGGGCAGAGAAATGGCAGATGGAATTTAATCCAGGTAAGTGTGAGGTGCTGCACTTTGGGAGATCAAATGTTAAGGAAAAGTATACAGTTAATGGCAGGACTCTGAACAGCATTGATGTACAGAGAGACCTCAGGGTTCAAGTCCATAGCTCCCTGAAAGTAACCACGCAAGTGGATACAGTGATAAAGAAAGCATATGACGTGCTTGGCTGTATTGGCCAGGGAATGGAGTACAAGAGTCAGATGTCATGTTGCAGCTTTGTAAGACTTTGGTTAGGCCACATTTAGAGTATTGTGTTCAATTCTGGCCACCACATTACAGGAAGGATGTGGAGGCTTTGGAGACGGTGTAGGAGAGGTTTACCAGGATGCTGCCTGGATTAGAGGGTATGGGCTATAAGGAAAGGCTAGAAAAACTGGGTTTGTTTTCTCGAGCAGCGCAGGCTGAGGGGAGGCTTGATAGAAGTCTATAAAATTATGAGATGCAGAGATAGGGTTGATGGTCAGAATCTTTTTCCCAGAATTGAAATGTCTAATACTAGGGGCATGCATTTAAGGTTAGAGGGGAAGTGTTCAAAGGAGACATAAGGGGCAAAATTTTTACACAGGGAGTGGTAGGAGTCCGGAACGCACTGCCCAGGGTGGTGGTGGAGGCAAACACAATAGGGGCATTTAATGTGCATTTAGATAAGCACATGAGTATGCAAGAAATAGAGATATGGGCCAATGGCAGGCAGAAGGGATTAGTTTAATTTGGCGTCATATTCGGCACAACATCGTGGGCCGAAGGGCCCGTTCCTGTGCTGTACAGTTCTATGTTCTGTGTTTATTACACATGAGAAGAAAACATGAACTATTTTAACCAAATAACAAATTAATGAAACAGCCTTATTACAAATATCAAATTCAGATACCTTAGGGATACTCAAACCTTAGTGAGCAGTCACCCTGTTTACACTTTAAAGTTCCTCACATGGCCATACATGGTTTCTTCCCCAATAAGCTTCTACATTCAATCCATTATATCTTTTGATTAATGTTGTTTCATGAGCCCCTTAAATAAACTGCAAGCACAGCTCACTTAGTTCTTAACATGGATTTTTGAGATCATCTTCACAGCTGATTGTTATTGATGTTAAACTAATCAGAACTAAATTTTGGATGCTTCTAACAGCTCCTTTGCTGCATAGATCTGTTCTCTCTGACAGGAGCCTTCACAATCACTGACAGAAACAATCTGGATGGTTCCCCCTTTCCAAAAGAAAACTTTACCACTTTGTACCTAAGGCACCTTGTTGCTACGGCCTTTTTTCTTTCTCTTGTTTTCTAAAGAACTGAACTATTCACCTCAAGGGATTTTTTTTTGTAAAAAACATCATTTAACTGCATGTAAACACATTTCCAAACACCCTGGCGCCACACTCAGAACTTAAAATTAAACTAAGTCATTTTCTTTTTTACTCTCAATTTTGGAAATACAAATCAAACTTAATTAAATACATGATTCTGTCCATGCTACAACTCGAATTTCCAAACAATGATAATGTATAATGAATGTTCATCGCGCACACATGCTGCTGATAGGCTGTGTGAACATTGAAGGTGGTAGATAGGCCCTCTTGTGGCGCTGTGGCAGTTTACCTACCCCTGGACTGGAAAGTCTGGGTTCAAGTCCCATCTGCTCTAGAGGTCTGTAATAACATCTCTGAACAGGCTGACTAAGGAAGGAGGTAGATGGATTGTGAATCAAGTGGACTGGATTATCCTGGATGGTGTTGAGTTTTTTTGAGTGTTGTCAGAGCTGCACTCATTCTAGCATATGGAGAGGATTATGCCACACTTGAATGAATTTTGTCGATTAGTGGACGGGCTTTTGGGAGTCTGGAGATGACGTCCTCTTTGCTGAATTTCCAGTCTTTGTCTTATTCTTGGAGCTACAGTATTTTTAAGCTGGTCAAGTTCCGTTTCTGCTCAGTAATTACCTGAAGGATGATGAAGGTGGGGAATTAGTGATGCTAGTCCTGTTGGGAATCAGGATTAGATACAATCTTTTTGGAGGTGATCATTGCTTGGCTCATGTGTAGTTTGAACATTGCTTGAAATTTATATATTCAAGTTTGAATACTGTCCTGGTCATGCTACACATAAGCATGACATTACGATAGAGATAGACATTAATGAAGTAACCGATGATGGTTCAGCCTAGTACCTTACTCTGAGGAATTCTTGCAGCAATGTCTTGGGGCTGAAATGATTGACCTTCATTCTCAACCATTTTCCTCTGAATTTGAATGAAGTGATTTCCTGCTCTCATTTCCTATGAATGCTACTTTGGCAGTGTAAATATAAATAAAACTTTAAATATATGATTGACAGTAACCATTGGACATGCATTGGCTGGAATTTAATGTCTGTGACAGTACGCTTGCCTGCTGGCTAGACAGTAAGTAAAAACAACTCCCCCCACCACTTCCATTGGCGAGGTCCTGACATTTTAATATTCAGTAGACATTTACCTGGCCAATATTGGGTCTTCTCCAAGATTTAGGATCCCATTGGGCAGAAATGTAAAGTTATAGTAGTTATTCAAAATCAAGAAGAGAAATATGACTTCATAATAGGGATGAATTATAACTGCATCCACCAGTCTGATACTCCCCAACCTGTAGTCCCTAGTCATCTAAAGGATGCACCCTGTGTCCTGTAGTGATGGCTGATTGAGCGTGGCCTGGAGTGATGGCGGCGGATCAAGAGTGGGCCGGATTGGCAGCGATAGCAGGTTGGTGAGAATGGGCGGTGAGGTGGTGACGGTAGTGAGAGCAGGCCAGTGAGGCAGCGGTGGTGAGGACAGGGCCAGTGAGGCAGCGTGGTGAGAGCAGGACTGGTGAGGCAGCGGTGGTGGTGAGGCAGCGTGGCGAGAGCAGGGCCGGTGAGGCAGTGATGGTGAGGCGGCGACGGTGAGAACAGGGCCAGTGAGGCGGTGGCGGTGGTGGTGAGAGCAGGG